CCTACTACACATTTTATACTGATTTTGTTTATAAACAATCATCTAAACTATACTTCATAAATATACTGTATTTTTAAATGTTTAATAGAGTATTTCTTAAAAATCAAGACACAGAAACTGTATGCGACCTAACAATATGCTTAATTCTTCCTATACCAGTTAGTGATTCCATCTAGTAACAGTCAAATAAACTGCAGATATTTTTTCTCATACATTCATTTGATTTTTTAATCATTTCAGCTATCAAAAACGCAACTGTAGAATGATAGAGATTAAGATCTCAGGAAAAGTAATACTGAATTTACAGACCAGTGATACAGTAAACAGTTGAACAGTTACAGTTAAATACAATTTTAACTGGTCCTCTGTTGTGGTTCACCAGCAGTAAGTGCGGATGGCTGAGGTCTTGGAGAGCGCGGACTCGGATGAGGGTCCTGTGTGTGCAGGGATGGAGCCAGGACTATCAGAGTGGAGTGCTGCCTTTGAAGCTTGTGGAGGCTGGCAGCAGTGATGCAGAGGACCGAGGAGCCTGTACCCAGTGTGTGTGCACACAGGACTGCTTGAAGGAAAGAGCAGCTGCAGCAGCATGGGCAACTCGGGAGTAAGGCTGCAAGGTGATGGCCCCTCCCTTAAGGGATAAAAGCCAGCCTTCAGAGGTGGATTCTTTGCAGGAAGCAAAGAAGTTCTTGCACTTCAAGTCCTGCAATTTAATCTAGTGTTCTTGGCAGCCTTGCACAACCCTGGCAAGGCTTGTTCTTATCTGGGACAATTAGTTTTTAATAGCGTTTTACTGTGAATGAACGGAATTCACAGAGAAGCATTAAAAAGGTTTTGCTTTTATCTCTGTTTGGTGTTTGTTTGCTTTGAGTGAGGCTTGGGTCAGAACATCTTCAGATCAGAAATCTTTAGTGCCTTTTTCAACTAACACATTTTATTAAAAGGCATATGACTTTCTCAGCTAAACTTATTTCATCAAGAGTACAACTAAATTTAAACCAATGTAGACAGATTGATTAAAGACACATAATATGATTTTATATATTCACCCATTGTGTTCACTGAGACCTTCTGAAATAGTTTGAAACTTTCGTATGTACATATGTTCAGTACTGGTAAAATTGTACTGGTAAAATTTCTTTTTTCCAAAATGTTTACTTGCAATAGAGTGCCAGAGAGGCTGAAGTGCTCTTATATCTCTTATCCTTGTTTCAAGTGGTTGATGGAAAAATTGTTGACAAACGTTTGTCCATTAATTATTTTGAACAAAAGCTATCCTATCTGTTCCATGTAAAATCCCATGAAACACTGCTGCCAAATGGCATATATCATGTTACAGAAAAAGCACATGAAGCTGTTCTAATCTTGTGTGTATACCTGTTGTATTTCTAGTTGTAAATGCTACAAATTTTGCTTGATAATTTTATTAAAGTTTTTAAAAATTATAATAAAAACTAATACAAATGAAACTAGAGGAAAAATTCAAAATATGCATAAAAAAGAAAAAGTAGAAAAGAAAAAATTAACAAACTAAAGAAGTGATTTCTAACCATCATATGGAAAAGAAGCTAATATATTAGCTTTTTACTGTCTTTTAAAGTAACACGTAGAAAAGCATTTTCTCCCACTACCTAGCACTTATCTATATGTAATTCATAAATCATTATATTTTCAATCTAGTTCAGAAAAATTCCATTAGAAGTTACCAGAAATATCATACAAATAGTTTATCCCTGATCAATAGTCCACGTTTATATCACGGTAAGTCTTTTTGATCTGGACAGTATTGACCTTTAACAATTCCTATGACATCGCAAGATTTGATCTTCCATCACTGTTTGGTATTTTTTTTTAAATCTTCAAATCTTTCACAAGTCTACTTTGTAAATCCTATAAAGAGACATTGTCTAGGATTTCTTGTTTCTGTAAAGTTGTACATACTTCCTTTTCCCCCCCATAAAGATGCATCATCTAGAGCAGAGTTCCCCAACCTTTCTGGCTTTGTGGACTGGCAGGGGGGAAAAGAGGATGGATCCGCGTGAATGGTAGTCATGCGCAAGTGTGACGTTATTTATACAAACAGCAGGCATGCATGTCTACCACTAGTGCAAATGGAGCGTACATGCACAGGCTCACCCACTGCTCCCACCAGTAAGGATGTGCTTACATGCATGCTTGCCTACAACTTCTGTAACTTGGTGCTGAATGGCTCACAGTCTAGTAATGGGCCAAGGCCTAGGGCTTGGGGATCCGATCTAGAGTGAAAAGGTTGCCTATCAGAGTTTTGGTCCATATGCAACCGAGTTTTTTCAGCAGACAGCTCTTGAGAGCTAAAGGCCTGCCTGCCAGAGGGATCTCAGTCCTTAATATTACAATCACAAATGCAACATTGCCCAGTATTCTTAGTTAGACCATTGCAAAGGTGAGCTAAAAGAATAATCAATCAAACACCCTTGACACTTAACAACCTTAAGAAACAAGAAACTCAGATACAGAGGGTATATAAGACAGACTAGAAAATAAATAGGTTTGGAAAGATTCTGGGAAATAGAAGATGAGGAAGGACTGAATAATCACGATTACTGGAATATCCTTGGATAACCTATGAGCTTTTGCTGGGGACAGTGCATTTGATAAACCTTTATTTATGCAGCCAATTGGAATGAAACCAAACTTCATGGCTCCTAACTGGCCTGATTTTATATGTCTGATGTCACATTTAACTTAGGGGTCCTTGGTGCTCTCTGAACTTGATTGTTTTCCTGCAGATGTTACATTACCTGAAATAGAATATAAAATCAGAGGAAACCCCACTCCCTCCAAGCACTGACATCATCAGTGCTAGTAGCGAGAGAGGTTTCCTCTCATGTTATATACTAGTGACTTGTCCTATCAGTGCTAGTGGAAGTGGTCTGTTGGTTGTTCTTTGGTTGGGTTGTTTACTGTTTGCCAATTCCTTGATTGGGGTACTGTTTGCTGCTTGATTGCTGGTCTAATGTTAATACTATGTTAATTTCTGCTCATTTGTTGATTACTGGTCAGGAGGTGTTCTGATCTTTTTCCCCCCTCTGGTTTTTCCCCCCACTTTTTGGCTTATTGTCTTTTTTGAATACTATATAGATGTTGTTTATGTCTATATTCCTAGTTCATTTGTCAGGGTGCCTTTTAGGAATTCTCTAGCGCAGGGGTGTCAAACTCAATTTTTCCATGGGCCAGATCAGCATTCTATTTGTCTTCTGTGGGCCAGTGGCAGGGGTAGGAGTCGATGAGTGCATGTGCATGCAGGAGTCAGCGGGTGCATTCTCACACAGGAGTCAGCACATAGCCACCATCCTGGCTGCCTTCTGTGTACACACACACCAGCCAGGATGGCATAAGCTAGCCTGTGCACGTGTGCAGTCACCGACTCCTGATAGAATGGGCCAGGCGCTTTCTGGAGGGCCAGCTGCGGAGCCCCAGTTGCCGGACACCCCCCCCCATGCACATATACCTGCAAGGCCCTACAACCTCAGGGTTGCCCAGTGACTGCCTCCTCCGTGCCAGCTCTTTACCTGGGTGGCTGACTCTCCAGCTGCTGCCCCACGATCCTTGCGCTCCCCAGCCTGCTCCACGCCTGGCAGAGGTGGTAGCCCCTTGCTTGAGAGAGCAAGGTGGGACATGCTGTGGTCATCGGGGAGCCCAGAGGCTCTGGCTGAAGCAGCGTCCGCTGCCGGGCACAGGCTATGGACCGCAAGAATTGTGGGGCAAAGGCCAGAGAATGGAACTTTTGGCTAGCCACCCAGATGCAGGGCTGGTGCGGTGGGGGTGGTGAGGAGGTGGCGGTCGCCAGGTAGCCATGATGCTGCGGCTGGAGTGGCTTCCTGCAGAGCAGGCTGGGGTGGGCAAGAATCGCAGGGTAGTGGCCGGAGGGGAATGGGCGGCTGATGACAGTGGTGGCTGCATCCCCTGATCCATGAGGTGGTGGCAGCAGCCAAAAGGTGAGATATGGACGAGGCAATGCTGGCCCATCACCTCCTGTGTACCCACACTCCCGTGATGGGGTGGGCTGGGCCTGTGTGTGCCAGCTGCCTCCTGCACATCCATGCGCCCACTGGGATAGCATAGGCCAGGCCAAACTGATGTGAAGTGAAGCATTTTGGTTTGATTTCACTTGGTTTAGGATGGTCACAGCTTTCCTGTGGAAAGTATGATTAAATCTGGCCATGTGTTGTAAAATTAAGGAGCTTTCATCACATCTTCTGGTTAATAGTTAGTGTTCATGGGTGTGCTCTGTTAGTGTTCTGCCTGTTTGTACTATGTAGTGATGTTGCAATCCTTACCTTGTATGCTGTAGATGTCTCTTTTCTTCTTGAGCTGCTGGATCTATTGGTTTACTTAGGGTATTTTGGAGGGCTTTAGTTGATTTTTATACTATGCTGATGCCATGTGGTTGTAATAGTCTGGTGGTAGTTTCTGAGATTTTTTTTTTTTTTATGTATAGCAGTATTATCCTTTTCACAGTATGTTGGTTATGCTGTACTGGATTGAACCAAAAGACTTCTCTACCCTGCTGAAGACCTTCAATTCCCCTTGAAGGCAGATCTTTTCATCAGACTCCAGAGATGAGTGTCCCTTCTGCAGGCAGTAAGAACTCACAACCTTCCCCACCAGCTTTGCCATTGAGAAACTAGCTAAGATTGTGAATGGTGATCACATGTTCACAGAGCAATTGGCAACCAGTCATAAATACAAACAGGTTACCAGGAAAATCACAATCTGGAAGACACAGTGCAATGTTATGTTGTCGTCAGAAGTGCCCTTACACTCAGGGCTGAAAAGTACCCATAATTGTAATTTTAGTGTTCAACAAGTAGTCATAAGTCAACAATAGCTGTATTCTATATATAAATCTATCACTGTACCTTCTCCATTATTATAAATTTGTAATGTACAGCCCTAGTTAAATAAATATTGAGGAAAAGATAAAACTTGTTTTTTATAGAAAAAGTGTAAAAAAAACTTACCAGTTCCTACATAGGTTCTGAAACGTCCTAATAGTCTTTCACCAAAGGCACCTAGGAGTTCTAATCCAAGTAGTGATACCTATGGAAACATATTTAAAGAATTAAAAAGATACTGTGATAATCACCCAATTATTTAAGGCAACTATATAGGTTTGAGAATGAGAATCTGTTAATACTGCTAGTCTTGTACAGGTAGTCTTCAACTTACAACTATAATTGAGCCCAAAATTGCTAAGCAAGACAGTGGTTAAATGAGTTTTGCCCCATCGTATGACCTTTCTTACCACATTTGATAAATGAATCATTGTAGTTGTTAAGCTAGTAACATAGTTAAGTGAATCTGTGGCTTCCCCCATTGACTTTTCTTGTCAGAAAATTGTGATTACACATCCCAGGACACTGCAATCGTCATTGTACAATGTGTGTCAATTGGCGAGAGCCCAAAGTTTAATCATGTGACTGTGAAAATGCTGCAACGGTATCAATCACTTTTTTCAGTGCCATAACTTTGAACAATTACTAAACAAATGACTGTAAGTTGAGGACTATTAGTACTCCATGCTTAAAAACAAATGTTTTTAAGGAAACATTTGGCACCACTTTGAATCTAGTTTCACACAGAGAAATTAATTAAATTATAACAACATGCTGGAATAGGTCTGGATCAAAGTCAACTCAGTAGTGTTTCATTAATCACTTTTTCATTTTTTTTTATTTCCAACTGCAACAAGTTTTGATATTCAGGTTTAAAAAAATACTTTTATAAATTAATATTTTATATTTGAACATTATGTTTAATCAGGATTTGGCAAATATTGTACACTCACTGCCTTCGTTAGATTATTGTCCTTAATCTATCATATGGAATCTTAAATGTTAACAAGGTCACAAAATATATGTGCATGCATTCTTTTGGTAGAGTGATAGCTTAGAATTCTAAACTTGTAAATAAAATTCAAATGTTAGCATTTAATAGGGCAACCAGTATTATTAATAGCTTTTCCTCAAAAATAATAATTTTATTTTTTGTTTTACATTTTGTTATCATTAATATTTATTACTGTAATTTATTACTGTAATCAGGTTGGCATTCAAAACATAGTATTTTTCCTGGGAATACGACTCATTAGAATATCGATTTGCTTTGAAGGAAGACAGGGAATTTATTTAGATTGCAGCTAGGAAGACAATATTTTCATTACATTGAAGACATATACAGGTAGTACAGGTAATTCATAAAAGCTGTAAAATATTAAGAATGCTTATTCCCAATTTTGTACAATATTCATCAGTTTAACTGCAAAAAGTAACATCATATAAAAATTCTACATCTTTTGGTTTTATATTTTGCTTTTTATATCCCTTTGCTTTACTATATGGTTACATATAATCCAAGTATCCACTATTCTTATTTTCTAATTCTCTCTCCTCTCCTTTTAATTCCTTCTGGGCTCTAAACGTGTGTGTGTGTGTGTGTGTGTGTGTGTGTGTGTGTGTGTGTGTGTGTACATACACTATTCCTAAGAAATATAACAGGTATTTTAGAAAATATTACATACACATATACTATACAAGGAACTAGCAGCAAATGTACATATATATTAAAAGTGTACAAGTTTGGAGCCCAGAAAGAATTCATAGGAAAGGAGAGGGAATTAGAAAATGAGTATTTTTCTATAAAAAAAACTAAACATGACTAATCTGAAAAAGACATAAAGAGAATCTAATATCAGAAACAAATTAACTGTCACAAGATCAAGGAATATCAGGATTTGATAGAAGTCTTTAAATTCAGTAGTTTAAGAAAAGTGGTAATTTTAACTGCAGTTCTAATAGATAGCAAACATTAAAAGCCAGTTTTGTTGTGATAAAAAAATCAGAACTGGATGATGGAAAATTAAAATAACACACATTAGAAATAAACAGAAATGGTACTTTGAAAATTAATTAAAATGATCATAAAAAGATGAATAAAAATGATCATTATAAAAGAATAGTGGGAAAAATTGTGAAGAATCAATTAACTTAATTTGAATGCATAAAATTAATAAGTGAGGAATAGAGTGAAAGCTAAGTGCTAGGTTGAATCCCCCCTTTCATATGGGCCAGAGGGCATTAATAACATGAAGGCAAAATTCAATCACAATATTAGACAATTAACATCTATTCTAGAAATGAAATATTCTGAAGTGAAGTTTTCCATCCAGAACTATCCTTACTAATTGTCTAGTTATGGTATCTCCAAACATAACTCTCAATACAACTATCTTTCTCTGCTTCTAAGTGCAGAGCTTCTGGAAAAATTACATTTGCAGGCAATACAACTGGGATATTCTCTTTAAGCTGGTAATTATCATTAAACTAATAATTATATTTCCATGTCAAAAACACCAAAGTAGTTCCATGATAAAAGGATCAGCCAGTGACATTACCACTATCCAGGAGATGCTCTGTTGTGGACTCTTTTGTATTTTAAGTTGTCCACTGAAATGATACCCATCTATCTAGTTGCATTTGCCCATTTTCAAATTGCTGGATTGGCAGGAGCGAGTGACCCAGCATCCTAAACATGTGAGCCACTGTGTTCTCACAGCTAGTAATTTAAAACTGTTAAAATGAATAATAGCTCCTATAAAAGCCAAATTAAAACATGGATTAGCCTAATATCTCTAAATAGCCCTAAGAAATTTAACATTTAGGACCTGCTAAGAATTAGATAAGGGTCAACTGTATTAAAAGGGGCATTGAACGTTTGCTTGTGGCTATATAGATTCTAGGCTGATCCCTCCCACCCACAGGTTCTGCCACTCCACTATGTCATATACCAATCTGTCTTTAGAGCTAAATGATTGTTTATTTCACATTAAGGCTACATAATTTTACACATATTTACCTATAAGTCAACAGTTTTAAATATTCACAATGAATTTGAAACTGAAATGGTAATATCATCCATAATGTCACTACCCAAATGACACAAATCATGTTATTTGCATCTCTTTATGTTATGTTTATGTTATCTACATAATGGTAACATTATGTAAACACAAGAATTTCATTATTGTAATTAAAGTTTGCTGCATTGCTGTCTGCTAAATTAATATTTTACAGTTTGACTTTCAAAAACCCAATTAACAGTAATAAAATACAGAACTAGGAAATAGTTATTTCAAATAAAGTATTTTAAATATTAAAATAGATTGAGAATGTCTTTTTCATTTATGTATTTACAACACCAACTAGGTTACCATTACATTTATTTACAAAATGTCTAATAACGTTCAAAATTTGAATCAATTTTTCACTATGTGATATATATGATATACATGTAATTTAATCTCTGGAGTATTCTTGGAATCAACAGAAACCTGAACTGTACAGCAATACTGCCACCAAATGACAAAAATGTAAACAAAAAGACAGCACTCAATACTACTGAACTGGATATTCTATTACTAGCAATACAATAATATGCTGGAGCTTTCTATGATAAATCTCAGGGCTCTTTTTTAAATGTGTCCAACTCCATACTTTCATTCTGGCAATCAAGAAAAATCTACTTTAAAAATCTGAGGTATGAGTCATTTTGAATTTTCTACAACACAAAATGGTATCTAATATTATTTAAAATATTTTCGTTATTTGTTTTAATGGGAATATATTAAAGCTATTAAAGTGACTTCTTTAAGAAATGAAAAATCTTGAGTTCCGGTTTGTCAGGCTTTGGCGGTGGCAGGAATTCGCGATTGTGCGCGATTCCTGCTGCGCTCACTGCTGGAGTGCCTTCGATCCAGCTGGATTTGGAGACTATAGTTATCCCATAGAGATAACTGAAGATAGGGGAGATCCGGGCAGGGGTCTGGGGGCATCACAACCCCCTTCCCCAGCCAGCTTAACTCCCTTTTCCAAAGGTGGTGGAGCGGCGGTCAGCAATGGCCACCACAAAGAACCTTTCAGCCGGACAAGTTTGTGCAGGAGGAAGTTGAGAAAGTGAAAGGTTTTGGCTGAACCGGGACAGCAAGCAACATCTGAATACCCTGGATATTTAGCTCTTTAAAGGATACATTGTTTCCCAAGAAGATCGTAAAAAGCTGCGGATGAAAGTGGAAAGGGAAAGTTTTCTTCTTCCACTCTCCTTCCCTACGGAGATAGTAGATGGAAATCAGAAATACCCACTTTGGCAACGGAAGGTAACTAATTCTGAAAATTAAAGCCAAGGGGACATTAAAGATTTCTGAACATTGATATTCAAAAATCAAAATCTTTTTGCTATAAGTGGGAAGGGAGAGGTAAATGATTTATACTAAGATTTTGCTGGAGGAGACTTCTTGGAGTTTATAAGATCAGAGACTAAACTGCAATAAAACTTCTAAAAAATCATTTTGGAATTGTGTAATTGAACTCTACCCCAGGAAGAGAAAGTATTAAAAGAAGAAAGTGCTAAATGAAACAGTTTGCGTTGATTTTGATTGCTGGATGACTCTGGGACTTTTGCAAATTATCTTTTGAAAGACTGAAAACATTTGGAGTGTTTTAAAAAAAAATCTCACAATGGCATTATCTGTGGAAGAATTGAAAATGGAATTTAAAAAGCTAAAAGAAGAGGAACAAGAAGGCAAGGGCTCTTCTAGATCTGTTTTTCACTTTTTAGAAATGGCGATTTCTACTTATCAGGAAATACAACAACAAGAAAGCTGGGATGAAGAAGAAGAAGCCATCTTTAATGGACAAATAACTTTAGTTGAGGAAGAAAAGGGAAAAAGGGGAAAGAAAATGGAAAATTCAAGATTTAAAAAAACAATAAAGAAAGGGAAAAATAAGGTGAAAAATTGATATAATGTCAGAAAGCAACAGAAGAGAGGAATACAACAGAGAGGGGAGACTAAGAGGGTGGAGATTGAGAGATGAATCTAAAAGGCTAGATTCGACAAGAAAGGAGGGGAAAAAGGGAAGAGGAGTTATAAAGGCTTAAAACAAGATGTTAAAAACAGGTTTTTTTAGAGACAAAGGGTAAAATATAATTTAAAAAGAGATTCTGCAAAAGTACATAAGACTGTATTGTATTTGTATCTGAAATAGAGTTAGAAAATTGGAATATTTTAGGTGTTAATAGAATATTGTAGGGAATGTGTAAAATGTCTAAGATTTAATAATAGAGTTAATTAATTAATTTGTTATGGAACATTGTTTTTACTATACTATAAGCTTATGTTTTTTATTTTAAAATGTTACGTAGAATGTACTAAGCAGAATCAGAATGGAAATTATGTATTATTTTAAGTGTTAAATTTGGGGAAAAGATAGAAAGGCGTCATACTTCAACCAGTGATTACAGGAAAAAATTTGTATTAAAGAGAAAAGATAGATAACTGAAAAAGAACGGACAAAAGATACAAGTATAATGATTTAAAATGAGATGAAGTAAATAAAATAGAATTAAGAGAGTGAAAAGAGGGGAGAAGACATTATAGAAAATATAGAATGTTAAATAAGATATGAAATACCGTATTTCCCCATGTATAAGCACCCCCTTTGTATAAGCCACCCCCCCAATTTTTGGACTGTGAAGTTTTGAAAAAAATATTTTATTAGAGAAACAAGTTATGAAGAAAGAAAATTTACAAAGAAACAAAATTCGACGTCTAGATCTACAACTTCGGTCATGACGCCGAAAGCGGTGCGGGCGACGCTAGCAATCTACACATCGGAACGAGAGTAGGAACGAAGCATTCAGGCCGATGCCTAGCGTATGCATTTCTATCGCGTACTCGCACTCGTAATCGTATCATCACGTACAATTTTTACAAAAAAGTATAGCATACTGCTGGAAAACCAGTTTATTCCTACTTTATTATTTTATGCATTTTTCACGTATAAAAAGTGTACCTGCTTTGTATATGCCACCCCCCTACTTTTTGGGCTTGAAAATTTTGGAAAAAAGGGGTGGCTTATACATGGGGAAATACGGTAGTATATAAGGTGAGCATGAATTTGATTTATGTCTGTACAAAAAGTTGTAACCCGGGGATATGCCGCTTTCTAAAAAGAAGTTTTTTGTTTTCATGTTACGTGTTTTGTTTGTTTATTGAGAATTAAGAATGTTGGATGAAAACATATGAAATTGTAAATAAGACAGATGAAAGTATAAGTTTAATGAATTAAAATTGAATAAAGGGAAAAATAGTGAGAATTTGGAAAAAGAGTAATAAGATATGAAGCTGAATACACAAGATGCACATTAAATTGTGTTTGTATGGAAATGTGATAATTTGGAACTATGCTGTACTTAAACAAGATGTTTTATTTGTTTGGTTAAAACTTAAAAAAAAAAGAAATGAAAAATCTTTATTAAACAAATATCTGACTCCTAAACACTATATCCCCAAGTAACTACATTGTACTTAGCTTGTTTCTGGTTTAATGGATTGCAAATTCTACCAACTTTGAGTAGGGTCTTAAGTACAGTATATACAAAGATAATAATTCTAACATGACAACATGCAGTTTTTATAGCCAGTCCATAATGAAAATGAATGTAATATAAGTAATCCTCAAGTTATTACTTAGCAGCCATCAGAAGTTATTACAGATTTACCTGAGGCTACTTATCACCTGGATTGAAATTCTGATACTTGAAGCCCCTCATAGTCATGTGATCAAATTGGTAAATGGACTACATTTACAGCTATTTGCAGCTTGTATGACCTGTAAACCAACTGTATATTAATGGTTCTCTTAATGATTGCTGGAAAAAAGGTCATAAAATCAGAATAACCATCATGGCTTATTGGACAGGCTCCAATACTGTACAGTCATACATTGACTGTATGACCTATTTATATATTAGGATTATTTTACCTGTTATATTTATTCTTGTCTATTGAATGTACACATTTGAGTGTGTTAGTGAGTTAAACAAAACTGAATTTTTACAAAGTAAAAGGATAAAACTGAACAATCTGAACAATTAGCTTCACCGACAACGCTTAGTGAAAGAGCAACACTACAGTACCTAACAAGAATCAGAAATACATCTCTATCAGGCACAATTATTACCTTATAATTACTAGAGTTAACCCATCCTGTTAATTCATTGATTACTTTATCAAGGTGCTGCTGATCCTGCTCTAGATCAGTAGAAATGCTGGGATCATTCAAATAATCCAGAAATTCCTGGCCAATTTGAAACCTGCGGCCCGCATCTTTTTGTTGTACTTGTTCACAGAAATAATCCATTTTCCCATGCTCCATTGTATATTAGACCCAAACTTTCTTGGTCTTGGTAATTCTGTTTCTAATGTATGATGGAAGGGATCACAATTTCTCAATAAATTGTAATAAAACAGATTAAGGAAAGTTTTCTGCCCATCAGTAATAGGGTGGAGGAATGTCGTTTTCCTTTCTTCACCAGTCTTTGAGGAACAAACATTAAGTTATCAGGAGCCGAAGCACACAAATTCCGTAAAAAGTATCCAGGGATTGTAATACAAGCTCTGGGGGAAGAAAATACTCTACAACCTTCAATGCCACGACCCTTTAATACAGTTCCTCATGTTGTGGTGACCTCCAATCATAAAATTATGGCTCGGTTCCTAAGACCATCAAAAATATGCGACCCACAGGTTGAGAACCACTGCTCTACAACTAGAAAAAGTTTAGTTGGAGGTGTAAGCGAGGGTGACGATTATCTTCTCGGCTCTTGCTTTTACAGAAACCCTTCAACGAGGATCTACAGCAGGAACGGTGGAGACAGCAGCGCTCCCTCACGGCGGGCCAAATACGCCGCAGATAGAGCCTGTGCCTCCTCGACTTCAAGCGCCGCAGGCCACCTCACCACTTCTCACCGCAGTAAGCAATAGCAACCGAGGCTGAGTCCAAATAATACCAAGAACGAAATCAAAGCGCTGTTTTGTTGGTTCTCCTCCACACTCCGTCCCCTGGAAGTTGCGTCCAATTCCAACCACCGTTAACCATCCACACGCCAGAGACGCCACTCACCCGACGGAAAACCCGCCTTCTATCTTCTCTTTTAGGCGCGTGCGCACTTCCACGCAGCCCCACTCGCTCAGCCAAACTCAATTTACCAGCGTCGCTTCTTTTGAACAACTCGAAGGACAAAGAGCCTCTAGCGCTTTTCCTGCGCTTGCGCGAAATCCCCTTTTCTAAATCATCTTTTCGTTCTCACGCCTGAAAGACCATCTTTGTGACGCACTTCCGGCAAGGCTGCGCATGAACGAGTTGCGCGCGCATATGCCGTCGCTGTTATGCTCTTTCTTCGGAAGCTGGCCTTCTATTATTGGCGTCTCGCCATTTAGGGAAGGCAAGATCTATTTAGTAGCCTATTATTGTGCTGGTATGTTTCTTTGTGAAGATGAAGTAAGAACAACAGAACAACGCATTAAAAGAATAGAGCTACAAAATTAAAAAATATTTAAATTAATTCCTATATCAGAGAAAAATAGTTTTCCTTCCGGTGGGACAGTATACTGAGGCACTCATTGTGGGATTACTTTGGCACTCGGAGTTTGTGGCAGTGACTAGAGGTGGGGGGAGAGGAAATACCGAGAAGGAGTTGCGGAACCTTATGTACAGTATTGTTTTAACCAAGTACAAGTCACTGTTTTTTCTCAATTTGGAAATGTACTGAATACACAGAAGGGCTCAGAATTTATGCACTATATTAAACAAATCAGTAACATTTAATTATATATACATTTACTTTATCTCTTAGTGTCCATAGTCTGAAAAGATGACCTGGCAATTTGCAGCATCAAAATATTCATAAGAAAAAATACAACTGATGAATACTAACAAAGACATCAACCTGTTCCTTGACACCCGCCCAAGCTGGTGCCAACAAGGATGGTGAGGTTCTTGCTCCTGGAGAGCTTATCACCTTTTAGATCCTTTTAGAACCTCCACCTTTGCCAGAAGTTGTGCGCTGAAGCTCCCGTGAGCAACCAAGATCCCTTGGGAGCCCGAGATTCCCCCATAGCCAACCCCAGTGAAGCAGCCTTGGCAAGCTCCTTCCCCAGCAGCCATAGCCTTCCATCCCCGAGCCCCTGCGAAGCGCAATTCCCCAGTGGCAGGGCCAGGCAATTTCCCGGATGTAGGGCCCATTGGACAATCTCCTGCAACCTTCCCAAAGACCATAATGTTTGAGCCCCGGTGGAGCGCAAATACCAGGAGGCATTTAAAGAGCCAGGAGGCAATTAGAGAGCCAAGCTGGAACACAGCCATCCCCACTCAGCTTTCCGAGCCCTGGATAAATACTATTCCCCAGAGGCAGCCAAAAAGCCAAGCCAGAATGGATTTACAGTTTAAATCCCAGCAAGAAAAATTCTTGTTCTCCAGAATGGTTTCAACAGGATCCAAGCATGTATTCAGCTCTGTTTGGCTATAGACTGAATAGAAAATTTGAAGGCACACCCCTTCCGGGCCACCGACTTCAGTTCTTCTATTCAGTCTCGGCAGAGAGAGGAGAATTCAAAAGAACAAATGCAACACACTGAAACAGGAGGGCAGTTAATGCCGCTGGTGGTTCAGCAGTGTTTTACGTAACTTATTGGTCGGAATGACAGTCCAAATCAGGCAGACTCTAGAGTAGGTCCCTCCCACCATAGGAGGCATTCCCACTCCCTTAGACAAACAGTTATGACCAAAACATGGTCTCCTGATATTTCAGAGGATAAAAAATCTGAGTATTCAGTAGAGGAAGGCGAAATAGAATCTCTTTCTGTAGAAGAGATAGAAACAGAGATATCTGATACCAAAGGCCTGTTTAAACTACATTTATTTAAAGAATTATTAGCCAAGGCCAAGAGCTCAACCGGCCTAGAATTGGACAAAGAGACACCTTGTATTACTCACAAACGGGGCAATGAAACTCTTTTCATGGACCCAAAGTGGAAGCGGAGGTTTTCCCTTCCTACAAAATATTCTTTACTATGGTGCAGAGACAGCTAGATGTCCCCGGTTCAGGTCCTGGGGTAACGGTCTTTGACACACTATTAGCAGCAACTTTGCAGCTCCCTGGGGTTGATGACCCAGTGCTAGCTTTAGCATATTCTTCAACTAATCTCAGTGATGAAGATGATGTCCTAAAAGGAGAGGACAAAAAGGCTAATTTAATGTGGTGAAAGACACACCAGGCAGCTGCATGGGCGGTCAAAACTGCCACAGCGGCTTCCTTTTTCTCTAGGGCTGCTGTGATATGGCTAAGACAAATGCAGCAGCACGTACCACAGACAATATAAGAGCCCGCTTAGACTTTAACAAAGTTATAGCTGCATCAGAATATATGGCAGACGAAGCTTTGAACTCTGTCAAATTCGCATCATGGGCCATGTTTTACAGCGGTTGCTGCACGCAGGTTAATCTGGCTCAGGTATTGGCAGGCCGACACCAAGATGAAATGAAACCTGGCATCCGCACCATACAAAGCTGGAAAGCTATTTGGGGCACCCTTAAATCCCGTTCTCATCGAATCATGGGATAAACGTCTACCAGCCAAAGAAATCAAGCAAACTTTGGCCAGAGGTAACATTTTCAACAGGCTCAAGGGAACAACTACAAGGCAAGATCTCAACCACAGACCAAACAGTCATTCCTTGGTTCATGAAACGGGCCCTTCTGAAAATTCAAATAGGCACTTGTAAACTGTTGGTGGTAGATTACAAAGTTTTGCAGACCAATGGGAGAAAACAACCTCAGATCTTTGGCTCAGACAACAAGGGAAGGTCTGGCATTTGAATTTCGAGCCAGGCCCCCAAGATTTTTTATCAGGTGTCCAGTATCTTCAAACATACACAAAAGGAGATAGATGGAAGAGGCAATTCAGCACCTCCTAACAATCCAAGCTGTGGAAGCAGTCCCAGAGGAGCAATAGGGCCAAGGCTTCTACTCGATGTTATTTCTTGTTCCCAAATCATCAGGGGGATGAATGGCTATTTTAAACCTGAAAAGACTAAACTATTTTGTGATTTATCGTAGGTTCAAGATGTACACGCTTCGATCTATTTTGAAGAAAGTGAGACATGCGGTCTATTTAGTTTCAATTGACCTTACCAAAGAGTATTTGCATATTCCAATCTTACCTGACCACCTCAAGTATTTAAGAATTTGTTATGCAGGTCGACATTTTCAGTATAGAGCACTCCCCTTTGGGTTGGCATCTGCACCCAGGGCATTTATCAAAATCATGGCGGCTGTAACAGTCCATCTTAGAAATGTTCCAATTAGGATACTGGCCTACTTGGACAATATCTTAATACAATCAGTCCCCCATGAGTTAGCTATTAGAGACTTAACCATCATCCTACAAACATTACAATCTCATGCATTTTTGGCTAATCAGGAAAAGAGTCAGTTTGAACCATCTACCAAATGTTTACATTTAGGGGCAATAATAGATACTGAATTAGATTTAGTTTTCCTCTCTCAACAAAGAAGAGAGGACATTAAAGCATTAGCAGCCCATTTCTTTTGCATAAGAAGGACATCCCCAGCACAAATGTCAAAATTATTAGGCAAAATTATGTCCTGCCTTGATATAGTGCCATGGGCATGACTGCATTCTCCTGAATTGCAGTTGTTCTTATTACCTTTTCAGAGATCCATGAAAGGTATCTCTCCCATCCGAGTCAGATTGCCAACCAAGGTGTTAAATGTCCTTGCTTTGGTGGACCTCTTCAGTATTAGATAAAGGATGCTCCTTTAAAGACAGGGAATTTACAACATTAACTACTGATGCTAGTCTCTCTGGATGGAGGGCCCATTGTTGAGATAAGGTAGCACAGAGCATTTGGATTGCTAATGACATCAAGCATAATATCAGTTGGTTAAAATTAAGAGTAGTCCACCTAGCTCTCAAGGAATTTGAGGCAATAACCAGGGGATAAGATGTGATAATTCTAACAGGCAATGTGGCCACTAAGGCGCACATTAATCGTCAGGGAGGAACACAGTCAAAGTCATTACAAAAAGAAGCTTCCTGTCTCTGCAGATGGGCAGAGAAAAATTTGCTCTCAATCAAAGCTGAACATATTTCAGGAACACAAAATGTCAGGGCAGATTAGCTAAGCAGATCTACAATAGATCAGGCAGAGTGGACTTTTCATCCACTTCTTTTTCAATAAATTTCCAACAGATTTGGTCACCCAATATTGGATCTGTTTGCATCTGAGTTGAATCATCAACTGCCTCGTTTTCTTCTCCAAGTTACTGTCCCAGGGATCGGAGGGAGTCAATGCTCTTTGCTGTCAGTGATCAAAGGGACTCCATTATGCCTTCCTTCCATTACCTCTCATCTCGGTAGTCATCAGGAAGACCTTATAGCAGAAAGCGGAGATTCTTCTTGTAGCACCGTATTGGCCCAGGAGGCCATGGTTTCTAGACTTGGTCAGTTTGTCAGTGTCATGTACATGGAGGATTCCTCCCGAAAGGTGTCTCTCGGCCAGGGGCCAATTCAATATCCAGAGCCTCAGTGGCTTCACTTGGCCGCCTGGCACTTGAAAGGAGACCGTTAAAAAAGGTGGATCTTTCCACATAGGTTATTAACACTATACAGGCAGATAGAAGACAATCCACTATTAGGATTTTGAGACTACTTGGAGTTTTCTGTAATTGGTTCAAAGATAAGGGTTCAGATCCTGGAGAGGCTTTGATCTCCCAGGTTTTAGATATTTTACAACAAGGATTAGACAAGGGTCTTGCCCCAGCTACTCTCCATAGACAGGTTGCAGTGCTCCATTGGTACCTTCTTGTACAAGTTCAGATTTATTGTCACAAAAGCATTTAATTCAGGGTTTCTTAAAGGGGCAGCAAATTTAAGACCAGGGGTCATTCATAGATTTCCATCATGGTCCTGCAAGCCCTTACGCTTTCAGCTTTTGAGCCTTTGACAACTGTCAGCCTACAGTACTTAACGTATAAAATAATTTTTCTTGTGGCAATTACGTCTGCCAGAAGGATATCTGAGCTTGCAGCTCTGTCAATAAGACCTGATATCTGTATTTTTCACACCAATCAAGTTGTTTTATGATTGGATCCTACCTTTATACCAAAAGTCAATTCCCATTTTCATAGGGCGCAAGAACTTGTTTTACAAACTTTTTGTCCAAATCCATCTCACCCTAGAGAGAAACTTTGGCATACCTTAGATATAAGGAGAGCTCTCCATATTT